TAATCCAATATTAGCTTCGGTCTGGCGAGGCGATACGATGCTAAACAATTATTCCTCCCTCTACGCTGTGTTTCCACGCACGATGGAAAGCCATTCTCCCCCCTCTCCTCCCCACTCCGACCGCCGCATATGCGCACGTACACACGTACACACACGCGCGGTTGGCCGCAAAGAAGGGTACAGTTGCGAATGTTATTCACGCGATCGAGCGAGTATTTATTACCGCGTTAGAACAAGTTACGTTTATCCCTTGCGTTATTTTATATTATATTTTATATTCGCAGTTCTCTGTTAAATTGTTGTTCATTTTCTTTTTTTTTCCTTTTTCCACGTGTCACGACGTGGTTCAAGCGCGGTTCAAAGTTTAACCGAATTAACCGAATGCCGAAACTTTTTGAAGGAGACTGTGCTGGAGACTCGTCTGGTAATTGGACACCGGCAACTACGTTGGAAACTAGAAAAACCGCAGGAGTATGGTGGTCGACGGTGATTACAGGGCGCTTGACGGACGATCATCAGAGTTTCGGAGGACTGAATGAACGTCGACCGGCCGGAAACGGGTTCACTTTCAATTTCCTCTGTCAGGACGGAGTAAATAAGACGACTTATAGGCGCGCGATATCGTGATTTCTTTGAAACGAAGAAATAATGATTAATCGATTCTTATAAAATAAAAAGTATCTAATACTTATTTTTTTAAAATAAACAAATATAATTAATCAATCGATTGAAAATAGAAACGCTTCTTATAAAATAAAAAGTATCGTTTCTAATACGTGATTTTTTTAAAATGAAGAAATATAATTAACGAATCGATAAAAAGTATCGTTTCTAATACTTATTGATTAATTTAAAATAAAAAAATAGAAAATAGAAATGTTTCTTATAAAATAAAAAGTATCTAATACTCGCGTGATTTTTTTTAAAATAAACAAATATAATTAATCAATCAAAATTGATTGAAAATAGAAACGCTTCTTATAAAATAAAAAGTATCGTTTCTAATACTTATTGATTTATTTAAAATAAAAAAATAGAAAATAGAAATGTTTCTTATAAAATAAAAAGTATCTAGTACTCGCGTGATTTTTTTTTAAAATAAACAAATATAATCAATCGATTGAAAATAGAAACACTTCTTATAAAATAAAAAGTATCGTTTCTAATACTTATTGATTAATTTAAAATAAAAAAGTAGAAAATAAAAATATTTCTTATAAAATAAAAAGTATCGTTTCTAATACATTACAGACACGTATTCAGAATCTCACGGAGCAAAGAACGGGAAGAGAACCGGAATGAAAGAAGAAGAGAAAAAGTGCTTACCTTTAGCTGCTTACAAATAATTTTGACGATCCAGGGGCAGGGAGGAGGGGGTGTCCCTAGGAAGGCTTCCTTTTTGGCGGGCATTTGTCCCCAAATAATTGGGCGGAACGGAGCTTCTCTGCAATTATAGGCAGTAAACGTGGCCACATCCGGCACAAGCAGCTCTCCTAGCTGAAGTGGGATAATTCGCTGCGGAAAGACAACGATTAGGGCGATCGAAGGGGGAGAGAACACGTCTCTTTCTCCCCGTCTCTTTCTCCCCGCGTATTTAGTTAACGAAATAACGAAAGAGAGGAAAGAAGAAGGATCGAGATTTTAAGAGAGACACTACTCTACTTGGATATAGCAAGTATCTTTTCTCCTTATATTTCTTTTCTTTTTTTCGTTTGTTCTTCCATACGCTTCCTATTAAGGAATCAGACGATTGGATGCAAGAAGAAGCTCAATGATAATCAGTTTCTGTATCTTTAGAAAAATGTGCTCGTCAGAAATTATGTCGAAACTTGGTCAATTTTCAAGATAAAAGAATGAAATTTAATAGAAAAAAAGGGGAGAGAGTAGAATTAAGTATTTTACTTGCTAAAAGGATCTAAAAAGTTTCTAAATCTTTCTCGCATCCGGTACAATTGCGATAGTTCGATTTTTCTGGGAAATGAATTTCATGGAATTCGCCTTCGTCATTTTCTATTCTCTTTTCTTTTTAAAGATCTTCAAATTGTCGAAGGGAGAGAGAGATGTTACGATATAAGAGCTGCGAAACTCTCGATCGCGAAATTCAACACCGTTTTTTAATGTGTATGATGATGAAGAATACAGAGAACTATTTTTTTTCGTTCATGTTGGGCCATATATAAATTTATTCTGTGCGATACAATTGAAAAAATATATACAGTGTGCCTTATAAAATGTATCAGGATCGAAAAAATTTGTTCAACTGAGAAAAGATATTTCTTGCGAAAAGAGAACGATTTATTCCAGGTTGTTGTCGTTCGAAGATCGTTTCGCCAATTGTTATTTTTTTTTCCCCCTCTTCTCTTTTATTTTACATCGAAAGGACGTTAGCTGGATATAATATACCGATATGAAACAAATAGAATGAAAATATTACACGATAATATTAATATCATCGACAAACGTGATAAAAATCATTCGTTCAACGAATAAATAGTAATAAGCCAAAGATTTTCGTGATATCCTATCGTGTGTTCGCCTATAATGAGTTCGTGAAGTTTCGTACAATCAACGTATACAAGTACCGGTTAAATCATTTTTATGTATATATATATATATATACTATATGCATTATTTTTTTTCCATCTGTCAATTATATACAACGTTACACGTACTTACATAACATCACATCGTTCTTTCTAGGATCGATAACTCTACGATTGCTCTTAAATTAAATAAGTGCCTAAATCGAGACAGACTTACACGCTCTCTATTTCGATGATGACGACCACGAATCTTAACGATACTTAGCTACTACTAATATTTATAACTTATCAATACCTTTTTTTTCTCGCGTTTAACATACCCTTAATTACTCTTTATGATCCTTTGTCACGCCTAAGAGAATAATATGTACAAAATGGTGTGTCGTTGTACAGGTGTAACGTTCGTACCAAGATCGCTGAGAGAATTTAAAGATGTAGTTGAAGAATAAAAATTCGGGATTAAAATGATCATCGAATGACGTTCGTAAAAATAATAAATCCTTTCTCTCTCTCTCTCTCTCTCTCTCTCTCTCGCGATCTTCGTAAGATCGTTTTCACCCGATTCAAGTGTGTCAAGTGTGTGCGTATGTGCGCGTGTCGAAATGTTCGAAACGAAAACACCGTTTCGCCCGCCGCCAAGTCGATCGCAGGATAAACGGATCAACGTCGTACACACATCGTAATAACTTTTAATTACAAACTATCGCGCTAATATATACACAGATATGTCGTATCGATCTTTCAATTGAGTCGCACCATTCGAGGAGGATGTTTCGAATTTGGAGAAATAGTATCTGCAAGTATTTCAATTATTGCTGTAATCGGCGTTGGGACGAAATTCTTCGGTTATGTAACCACGTTTCAAACTTTTTTAAAACGACGAGCCTCTTTTCATTTTTCTCCTTCTCTGTTTTTATATATATTAATGTAAAAAATATATATATATATATAAATCTGTTTCTCTCTCTTTTGAGAAAAGGAAAGGAAAGGAAAGGAAAGGAAAGGAGAGAAAAACGTTAACATTAATTATTTGGTTTCGTAGTTTTTGGCGCTTGTCTTTTCTCAAATATTCGTTAATCATTTTTCGATCGCGAATAACGTTGGGTGTAATAAATTTGTGAAGTCAATTTGGATGGAGAAAGGGAAGAGAGCGCGAAGATTTGTTCGGTCACCCGTCGTCGAAAGGGTCAATTTGAGATCGTAAATCGAAGAATTTCGCAAACCTTTGGAAAAGCTGTCCGGATTTCGCTCTTCTGTCTTCGCCTTTCCTTCCTCCCCCTCCGTGTCTCCATTTTCTTCCCTGCGTATCGCGTCTGCCGCTTTGACGAGGGTAAATTCCTCGAGTTTTTCACGGGGATGGTGGATTGGAACGAGAGCGATCCGTAATTATTTAAGTTTCTTTTTTAGCTTTCCACCGGTCCCCCTCTCGGTTCGTTAAATTAAACATGTCGATAAAATTGGCCGTCATGCCGGTAAGACGTTGATATTATCTAGAAATAGAGCAATTAAGACGAATCCGTCTCTTGTCTCCGTCCCTCCTCGCTTTCCTTCCCCATCCCGTCCCTTATTTTTTCGCTGTCAATAGCGTCACGTCAAATTACGGTTCGGCAATTAGCTGCCGTCCCGGCAGCAAATTTTTCTAAACAACTTCTTTTTGCCTTCGCGTTGCGACGTTACGTGCACCATAAATGTAGATTTATAACAATAAAGGGAGAAATTACGACGCGTTAGACTCGAGAATTGAATTACTGGAAATTATTGGTGATAATATTTAATATTGGTATAAAACGAGATTCTATTTGAGAAACTTTTCCCTCTGAAATTGCTTTCGCTTCAATTTTCTTTTTTTTTTTACCGATTGTATCGATAAAAATTATTTAACCGGTTAAATAAAGAAGAAAAAAAGAAAGTTGAGAAGCAGAGATGCGAGAACGAGAAAAGGCAAGCAATAATCCAACCAATATTCGTAACGCGTAAAATCAAACGATTCCTCCTCCTCCTCCTCCTCCTCCTTCGAAATTAAATAAATCAACACTCGATCGATATTCTTCTGATCTCGCTACAAGAGATTTCCAAAAGTAAAAAAAAAAAATAAAAATAAAAAAAGGAAAACAGAAATCCCAATTCGATTCCAAATCAATTAGATATCACTTCGATTCTCTTTCGACGTTATTAAGAGCAAAATAACCGCTGCTCCTGCGCCGAGAACGCGACAAACGATTCCATCTTTTGGAAACGCGGTTAATACAAGTTTCACTCAGGCAATTCTCGTTGTTTAATCTTTGCGAATCGTTCAACA